TTTTTTATAATTTTAGATGTAAATTCTCTTCCATTATCAGATTGAAGAATTGTTGGTGGTCCAATTTCAGTAAACAAATCAAATAATTTTAATGCTATTGCATTAGTTTGTTTAGAAGGAAGAGGATAAGCCCAAGAAAATCGAGTAAAATGATTTTTAATATGTAAAATATATTTAAAATTTTCATCAGAAGATCCTCTAAAATCAATCAAATCCATCTATATTTTCAACATTGTTATACTTTCCCAATTATTATATAAAACACAGATCACATTCTTAAAAAACAAATTTTATGACAAAACTATAAGTGCAATTTGATGTCTTTTTAAATCTAAAATCTTCCTATCCAAAGATATACTGATCTTTATCTTCCACTTGCTCTTCTATATAATATATATAATATAACCCATCTCTTAGCGTTAGAGGTTGGAACCGGTTAATTAAGACATTTATCTTGTTAACCGGTTAAAGATTTTTTTAACTGGTTAAAATAACTAATGTTAACTCTGACCGAAATTTAATTTTCGGGCAGAATTAAAAATTTTTTTGCAATTACAAAATTTGCTAATTTTGCCCAAATTTATAGTGCCGGCCTGAATTAAATTTAACCGGTTAATTAACCAGTTAAAGAAATTTTTAACCGGTTATTAACCGGTTAAGGATCCAATAAATCTTATTCTTTAAGCGCCATTTCATTTATTGGAAGAAAAAGAAAAAAGTAACGAGCTTCTAATTTTGGTATCATATGATTAAAAACTCAATGACGAAATTGGAAATTAATTCAACCTCATTTTCATGTAACTCAAACAAAAAATTAACTCGAATAAATAAATATGTTTCCTATCCTAGACAATTTTTTTTATTTATATCAAAACTTTTGTTAATTTAGCTAAAAAAATTAATTATGAGTTGGCCTAAAAGTCTAATCTCTTCTGGTAACTATTGCGCCAAATAGCGAAAACGTTATCGTATTCGCAAATAAAATTTGTGATGTTAATCCAGATGGCAATTACACTCAAATTGGATTAGAATGGCCAAAAATTGTAGCAGCAACTACTTATTGTAACTTTATTTACGCTATTCATCCTGATGGATTCATTTACAAGATTAGTACTTCATCTTACACTAATGTTTTCAAATGGGCTGAAGCAGGAGGTGGATGGGAAAGAGCGAAAGCAATTTTCACTTACAATGACCACATTTGCATTGTCCGTGATTCTATCTGTCTTGACGGTACTTATCATATGGTTCAAAATGATAACTGGGGGCTACACAATCTATCACAGTAATTGTCGATTACGCGTATTTGGTCCATGATAATGGAATTATTTATAAAATTATTTTGAAAGATCAGACCTATAGAATTCTTAGTTAGGAATGGGCAAAACCATTCCAATTACTTATGACGTATATCTTACAATAGTTGATACAAATACTGGTTTGAAACATGTTATACATAAAAATTGGAATTCAAAATTAGCTGGTTGTTCTGTTGTAACCCAAATGCGTTAATGTCCGAAATGATCATTTCAGATATTCCAAATCGGAATGCGCATTTGGAATATCCCAAATGCAAAGATCGTTTTAGATATGCGCTAGCCCCAAATGTGCATTTATCCCAAATGATCACTTGGGATATCCCAAATGATCATTTCGTATAATATCCCAAATGCTTACTTGGGATATCCCAAATGCTCACTTCAGATATCCCAAATGACCACTTCAGATAATAACCCAAATGCTCACTTCAGATATCCCAAATAACCACTTCGGACAATATCCTAAATGCTCACTTCGGATATCACAAATGACCACTTCGGATATACCAAATGCTCATTTCAGATATCCAAAATGACATCTTCGAATAATATCTTAAACGCTCCCAATTGTTCATTTTGAGATTATCAAAATTGATTTACATTTCTAAATTGGTATTTAATTTCCTAATTAATCTTAGTA